TGTAATGTTGATTGCTGCTGTTTTTTATGTCAGATATCGAACTCTTCCAACACCGCGAACACTAGCTAGCTAAGTATTTCAATCCTTGTTATGCTACTGCTAGATTAAAACCAACGTTCATCAGCAAGGTAAACACAGCAGTTCAGTTAATCTTGGTGGCAGCTTCTTTGGCAGCTCCAGTTTTCAATTATGGTTGATAGCATTTACCTTCAGATGCTTTGGTATTTTACAGCTTTCACCACAGCTGCATCAGCTTACAGTTATTATCATTATGGTCGGAAAACTGTTCAGGTGATAAAAGGCAGATGAGAGTCACCCATCACCATTAGCAAGGAAGCAATACACATCATCTGTGGCAATGCCAGCGAAAATCTACAGGAGTTTCCCTATTTTGGTGTTCAGCTTGTAAAAGGACTTGTCAGAACAAACCATGTCATCAAAATTGAAGTAATGTGCATTGAAAATAAGCTTGATCATGGGCATATGCAGAATTTCCAATGTATTTTTAAGTATAAATAAAACTATAATTTAGAATTTTTAATCTTAGGTTTCTTGAATATAAAGAGATGAATTATTCCAATTATTGTCAGTCCTTTTTTTATGTTTTTAAAAAATATAGTTCAGAGCATGGAAACCGAAGTGTTGACACCTGTCTCTGGAATCTAAGTTGCTCATGAAGCCATAGGGACTTGCCTGGGATTAAATATATATCTTATATAACTTGGCTATTAATTTTTATGTTTGATTTTTAGATTCATGTATACATTAACAGTTCATGTGGTTATTATTTGGTCATTTAGGGTAGTGAGAATAAAGTTAGCTGTGAATGAAGCAAAGTTGTAAAGAGATAAGTGTGGCAAGTTTTAAAAATAAATAAGATCAAACAAAATAGAAGGTATTGAAGCTCATCTCATGTTCAGGAGTCTTCCAGCCTCTCAGGTGCCTAATAGTTCATATATCAGGATAACAAGTAACAAAGATAGTTGAAATATGAGAACTTGTCCATTAGTCTTTCATCTAAAAGCAGTGAGTTACATCATGCCTTCCAACTGTGTTTCTAACATTACAATATTTGTATGATATTGGAACCTGTACTTATTGTGTAAATAATATGAAATTGTATATTTTTCAAAGATTTTTTAAACTTTGGGAAAATTTCTTTTGTTAAGATGTTAAAGGAATAAAAGCTGGAAAAAAATAAAATTGTACCTTCAACTTGGAAAAAAAATTCGCAAGAAAAAAATTAGCAAGAACTTTTAGGAAAGATCAGCTGGCCTAGTTTAGCAGACAGGACTCATGTAGACCCCTGCTATACACATGTGTCAGTAGTGCCTGTCAGTTTGGTATAATCTCTGCAACCTCCCCTTTCTGGTTAGTCCTGTGTTCGTCACCCTGAATTTCTCACTGAACACCCAGAAATATGGCTATTGAATTCAGTTCTCTTTTTAATGGCATACTCACGAGTTGCAACCAGAGAAGAAGTGACTTCACGTTCACCCAACAGGTCAGCACTATTTTGGGGATGATGGTGGACAACAGGCAGTTCACACTGACTGCAGGAAGTTTTATGGTCCTCATCCAATGAGTCTGGCAAGGGTTCTTTTACTTCTTCCTCTTCCTCCTGTTCCTCTTTTCTCAGCCTGGTGGGATAAAGAGTATGATTAAACAAGAAGGACTGGATGCAAGAGTCCCAGGAGTTGATGATAGAGGCCTAAGGGAGTGGTCACAGAAGGTCAGGGGTACTCCCTTTAAAAAGGAAGAAAAGGGTGAAGGCAGAGTATAGCTGCCTTCGTGACATGAGACCCGAGAAGAGGTTCATTTTACTGCCTGGACAATTAGCTGAGGGAGTAGGTGTCTCAACTCTCTTTGTATGCTACCACCATGACCCACAGCACACAGAGAACATACACAAGTTCAAACTTTTCTATATGTGTTAACATACAACAGTTAATGCTTCAGAGACATTGTAGAGTCCAAGACATCTAATGCAATCCAGTATATGGAGATATAAATCTCCATTATCCAATTTCATGGCTATGAAAGGCCTGCCAACAAATTAAGGTCAACCACAACAAAACAGATATACATCTCATCCTCAATTGATCAATACCCTATATATTAGTCTCATCCTCAATTGGTCCATATGTATATTCTGTGAGTTAAAAATAAGAACTTTAGTGAGATTGATTATGTCTACCTGGATGCAGACCAGAACCAGTATAATGGGCACCTTGTTAAAAGATGGACTTCTTCATTGGTTGAGGAATGTAGTCATACCAGTAGTTTTTGTTTCCCTTTGCATGTGAAATACGTGGCTACTTTGAACCTCTTGGTTTCCTCATGGGGGACCCTTGTTATATTTTACCTATCCTTTCCTAGGCCCTTAGTATTCATTGTTACCTGGGAGCCTGTGATTCCTGCTCTTTTTCATCTTCACAATTCTCTGAAATCAAATTCAGAAATGTCCAGTCAGCATTGAGTAGTTCCACATCACTCATTACAGACACATGGGAGCCTCGGAGCATGGAGCCATAGTATCAATGTGTGACCTTTGTATAGACATAAAGTTCTCCTCTAGATGCAGCTCGTGAGGACTCCATTGAAAGAACTTCAGTTGTACCAATCACATAGTGGGGGGCCACTGCAAATCATGATGGTGTACATAGGACTAACCAGATTACAGAGGTACAGGAAACACAAGAGTAGTTGGGAAGGTCACAACCCAAGTCACAGGCTGACTAAAATCTAAGAATAAATTGCAGAACTGTTGAAAGAGTACTGTCCTTCCATAACTCACCTACACAGCAACAGGGCTCAAATAATAACAGGAGAATTAATCTGAAAGAAATACAGTCTTAGGGCTGGGGATGTGGCTCAAGCGGTAGTGCGCTCACCTGGCATGCGTGCGGCCCGGGTTCGATCCTCAGCACCACATACCAACAAAGATGTTGTGTCCGCCGAGAACTAAAAAATAAATAT